AGAGAGAGAGAGAGAGAGAGAGAGAGAGAGAGGATACGTATATATGTACAAATTCACTGGCGTTAAGTCAATTCCAATGTATATGGAATTGACTTAATGCCAGTGAATTTGTACATATATATGCATCCTAGTGTGGCACTGTAGAATAAGTACTGGGCTGCAAGATTAGTTTGAACCACAAGATCCATGGTTCAATCCCACCAGCCACTCCTTGGAAATCCTATACAAGGTCGCTATGAGATGGAACTGACTCTATGGCACTTAACAATAACAACAATTCCATATATGGGAGTCCTGATATGGCACTGTACTGTAAGCACATGACTACCAATCATAAGGTTGGCAGTTCAAACCCACCAGCCGTACCTTGGAAACCCTACACAGGGTCACTATGAGTCAGAACTGACTCAATAGCACTTAAATAGCAACAGTTACACATATGGGGGATGCAGTGGCTCCATAGGATAAGCACTGGATTGCCAACCACAGGTTGGTGATGTTTCAAGCTCACCAGCTGCTCCACAAAAGAAAAATGAGGCTTTCTGCTCCTGCAAAGACTTCTTCTAAAATAATTAAAGCCTTGGAAAACTTATACAGTGTTGTTATGAGTTGGAACTGACTTGACAGCACTTAGCAACAACATTACGTATATGAGCCCTTTTGTGATGCTGTAGGGTAAGCACTGAACTGGTAACTACAAGGTTGGCAATTTGAACCCACCAGCTGCTCTCGGGAGCTGTATCCAGGATTGCTATGAGTCAAAACCGATTTGATAGCTCAGCAACACCATTATGTATATGGAGTCTTGGTGTGACATTAGGATAAGAACTGAACTGCTAAGTACAAGGTCAGCAGTTCAAATCCACCAGCCGCTTCTTGAGATCCCTATACAGGGTCGCTGTGAGTCAGAACTGACTCCATAGTACACAACCACTTCCATTACATACATATATGTGTGTGTGTGTATGTCTACACACACACACAACTAACTTTATAATATCAAGCATTCGAATAGGATTTTCCATATTTGAAGTGCTTTGACATAGAAAAAGTGAAGGTTCACTTCATTCATAATAAGCACAGCATGGTCAGACTTGTATGTTCGGCAGTTCTAGTGCAGAGACTGGGCAGGGGAGGACCTGGTGGGGTCAAGCTGGGGCTCCAGAATCAGACCAGCCTGGATTCAACTCTCAGCTCTCAGCTTCAGGCTGGGTCACTTAGTGAGAAAAGCATTTACCTTTTCAGTCTGTTTATTCCTTTTACATTTTATTTTGTTATTGTTGAGAATCACACAGAAAAACATGCACCAATTCAACAGTTTCTGCATGCTCATTGGAGTGACACTGGCTGCATTCAAGTTATGCAGCTGTTCTCACCCTCCTTTTCTAAGTTGTTCCTTCTCATTAACATCAGCACACTGCCTGCTAAGGTTCTTGTCTAATCTTTCAAGCTACTGTTGTCAGTTGGATCCCATAGAGATAGATCTTGAAAAAGCATAATGCTCAAAGCAGATATTTTTTACTAGTTAAGCTAAACCATTATTTGATTTTCAGATGACTTCGGGAGATATTTTTGGTTTAAGGTTTAAAGAGGATCTCAGGGGAATAGTTTCAAGGATTCACCCACCAGTCTGTTTATTCTTATCTAAATGGCCTAATCCATACTTAGCTCCCAGGACAGAAGATGATGATGTTAGGAACAATAGCAAACACCGTTCTAGTATGTACCAAGTGCCAGCCTCTATTCTAATGAAATGTTCAATTGATCCCAAAGCTTGAAGTTTCCTAGATTTTAATATTGAAATATAACCTGCTCTTACATCTTAAAAATATCACAGAATTTAAGTAATTTCTTCTTTATAATGGAGTCTTGATGTGGCACAGTAGAATAAGCACTGGACTGCTAACCTCTAGATTGGCAGTTCAAACCCACCAGCTGCTCCTCAGAAACCCTATACAGGCACGTTATGAGTCAGAACAAGCTCGATGTCACTTGACCACCACAACAGGCTTTTTAATAATGGTAATAATTACTATTACAGCTATGTTTTTGTTTTCCTATAATAGTAATTATTACTATTATATTGTACATAGGGTCACTATGGGTTGAACCAACTCAACAGCACCTAACAACAATAACATAGCAATGTTGTGTTGTTGTGAAATGTCTTCGAGCCAGTTCTGACTCATTGAGATGCTGTACAGCATTTCTGAAGCTTTAAGAAATCTTTGTGGGAGCAGAAACCCACATCTTTCTTCTGCAGAGCAACTGGTGGGTTCGAGCCATGGACCTTGTGGTTCTTAGTCCAGTGCTTATCATATGGACCCCCGCGCTCCTATTATAGCAAGTTACAATTTCTTGAGTATTTGCCTTTGATCAAGACATATGTGCCTTAGCTCATTTAGCCCCCTTTCCCATATATTTTCAACTTCCTTTTCTCATGGATTGTTTCCTAAAGTATCTTAGATTTTTACTCATCCTAAAATTACCCTTCAGCCTTATTTTGTCCTTCATCTGCTCCTTCTCTCTCCTCCCCTTTGTAACCAAACTTCTTGGAGAAGGTGACTGCATCTGTTTTTGTTTCCTTTACTTCCTCGTATGCTCTTGTCCCCAATTCAGTGGCGCTCCTAGACGTTCACTTAATATTCACTCTCATAGAAGTCCTTATCTTACCTAACACCTTAGTTACATCGGGCCTAACTCACCACTCCATCTTGAAATATTTCCCCTTTTGTCTTTTTGACATCACACTCTGCTCTGGTTTTCTCTCCTGACTGATTATTCTTGACCTTTGCTAGCATATCCTAGTTGCTTACTCCTTTAAATATGGGTGCTCCTCCAGGCTCTGGTTTATGCACTCAAATCTTTTCTATTCTTTCCAGGGTCACTTCATCTTTTTCCATGGCTCCAATTAAACTGGACTCCTGGTGTGGTGCTGTAGGATAAGCATTGGACTGCAAGCCACAAAGTCTGAGGTTCAGACCCACCAGCTGCTCCTCAGAAACCCTATACAGGGTCACTATAAGTCAGAATCAACTTAAAGACACTTAACAGTTTAGCAACAGTTAAATTGACAGCTTCCAAATTTAATCCTTACTCACAGATCTGTCCTCTGAGCTCCAGATTAATATATGCAATGACCTACTTCTTCACTAGGTTAATTTACAGATACATTCTTGATTTTCCTTGTTTATTCTGTCTTGCTCTGCTGTAGGGAGGAAAATATAGTTCTCCAATGTGCCTTATAGTTCAGTAAAGTAGAAATCTAGGGATTATCCTTAATTCTCCCTCTTCCTCATCACTCACACCCAATGAATCACGATGTCTAATTTTTTTCCCATTATCTTGAATCTGTCCAATTCTCATTTCCAGTAACAACGTAGCCTCCTTGTTACAGTCCTTTCTACAGCCCGATCTCAGCTCCTGCTCTTTCAGTAATCACAGTTTAAACCAGCAAGACACAGTATTCTTTAACCCCATGCTTAGGGAAAGAACAAGAAATTAACTGAAATGCAACTCTGCCTGTTACTTAAACTTTCCACATTTTCATTTAGGGTAAATATTCCTTCTAGCCAACATCTTCATTTATTCTAGCTCTATGATGTGTGGCGCTGTGGGTTAATGCGCCAGACTGCAAAGCCATTTGAACTGCAAGGTCGGCAGTTCAAGCTCACCAGCTGCTCCTTGGAAACCCTATACAGGGTCGCTGTAGGTCGGGACCGACTCGAAAGCACTTCACAACAACAACAACAATGATCCATTTAAAGAGGAATCAATCCCTGGAGAAGGACATCATGCTTAGTCAAGTAGAGGTCAGTTGAGCACCATGCTTGGTGCACAGTAATTTTAATATAACAGGAGTTACAATACAAGAAAAAGACAATAATGTTTGGAACAACACGTGGAAGAGGGAATTTGACCTTTTACTGTAGCATAATGTTTAGAAAAGGAATAATAGAGCCAGCTCCAAGTATAATGTGACTTAATCTCAGGTGAAGGAATCTTGGTGGTGTAGTGGTCAAGCAGCTCAAACTCACTGGCCACTGCAAGCGAAAGAGGTGGCAGTCTGCTTTTGTACAGGTGACATGCTTGGACGCTCAGTGGGAGAATTCTGTTTTGTCCTATAGGATGAGAATCAACTTGACAGCAGTGGGTTTGGTTATGTCAGGTGACTTCATCATATTGTGAGGTTGCTCTGAGCATGACTGCTAAATTATAACCTAACTAGAACTAGAAAAGCATGAATAATTGTTGTTGTTAAGTGCTGTCGAGTTGGTTCCAACCCATAGCAACCCTGTGTAGGGTTTCTGAGGAGCGGTTGGTGAGCTTGAACTACCAACCTTGCAGTTCAAACAACTTTGCAGTCCAGC